TTTGGGACAGAGCCTTTCACACCACCCTCCCAACTATTATCTGGACAATTGGCAATTGAAGGATTTGTGGTTCCAGGCAATCTACCAAACAGCTTTGATTTATAGTAACATTAATGTTGTGGAACATCAGCGAAAAATGATTTCTTAGCAAGTGAAAATGTGGTGAAAATGTCACCAAAAATAAAAAATCTAATATTTCTTATTATGAAATTACTATAAATCAAATATAATACTATTCAGTATTATTAGATGTGTTTACACATTTCAAACTTTACATCTTCTTATTCTATTGTTAGATAAATTTGCTTCTTTCTAGAAATATAGTAAATGCCTAAAATGAAAAATCATCTGTCAATAAAACAAGACCATTTCAAGCTTGAAATGAGTAAAAATGTCTGGAAATAGATTTAATAATCATATTTTTGGTCTATTGTAATTTTATAGTAGGAAATTCTAGGTGAACTTTACTTTTTTCAAAATAAACACACTTGCTAAGATGTAATTTTTTCCAGTGCTGGACAAAGATCAAATATTTGTAGTAAACTAAAAGCCTATAAAGAGAAAGTAACTGTAATTACACATTCATTCATTCATTCATTCATGTTGAATAAGTGCTCTATCCTGGTCAGGGTCATGGTGGATTCGGAGCCTAACCTGGGAGCTCTAGGCATGAGGTGGGAATACAGTCTGGACCTACAGGCCAGTCCATTGCATGGCATCATTCACACATATTCTCACCTAGGGATAATTAAGAGTATCCAATCCACCAACTGGCATGTTTTTGAAAGGAAACCTAAGAAATTGGAAGAAACCTAAGAACGTCTGAGAAAGTCTGAGAATCTGGAGGAAACCCAAGCAGACACTAGGAGAACATGAAAAACTCAGCACAAACACTAACCTGAGCTCAGGATCGAACCCAGGAGCACCCACTGCACCACTATAAATATCAATAGTGGAATCTTTTGCCTTTCACTCAGACCTGGAACCATTGTCACTGGTAGAAAGTGTGTATTGTATCTCATTTTTGAGGAAACTACTGAATTGTGACCATTAGAATTGTAAGCTTTTTGTTTAAAAATCCATTTAAAGCTTACTGATGTTATTCAACTGATAATTGGGGAAGTGGTGGCTCTGTGGCTGCTGACTGAAAGGTTATGAGTTCAAATCCCAGCATTGTCGAGCTACCATAGTTGGGTCCTTGAGCAAAATCTCAATTGTAAGCATCAACCAAATGAGCTAATGTCATTCATTCATTCATTCATTCATTCACACATCTTCAGTGAATGCTTTATCCTGGTGAGAGTTGCACTAAATCCAGAAGTGTAGCACGGGAGATGAGGCAGAACTACACCCTAGATGGGACGCCACTCCATTGCAGTCAACTGATAACGTTTTTTTTTTTCTTTTATGTAAAGATACATATATTTTGCATGAGCCCTGCCATAGTGTATTGTAGTTGCATTTTAATATCAACATTTACTGATATAATCTTTAATGAAAACACAAAGGCGGAATGAAATAAATCAATGAAGGTCACTTTTTCTTAAATAAAAGCTGAGGATTCATAGTTTCTGATCCTACACTTTAATTAACAGTGATTACATGATGATAATAATTCATTCTATATATGTTTCCCAGTCTCTGCTATCAGTCTGCTATCAGTCCTTTATTCATTTACTCAAAGCATATCAGCTCAGAGGATGGATGAAGTCTAATAACCTGCTATCAGTAAGCCCCAGAGCGAGCTCCTTATCTGAACCAGTCCGGTTCATATTAACACAAGGCCAAAAAATAAATATATAAATAAATAAAAAAGGATTGTATTTTGCTCTTGAAGTGTGCATCCATTCAAAACTCATAATGTGCAGCACACTGTATATTTATTTTATCAGTCACATATTTATATAGTTATGGAAGCTACACTTCAGTCCTGTTCCTGTAAACTGATACGAGCTGATACGAGCAAATAAAATAAAAAGTGCATGTCATATATTGCTGCTGGAGTGTCGAGAGATGAATGAATCAAGAGTGACAGGCGCAATGAGCAAAGCCTACTTCATGAACAAGAATGAACACCTATAATGTGTTTATCTGCTGAGTGGTGGGTGTGTAAATTGATTGAGGGTCATTAAGGCCTGAAAGCTGACAGACAGAAAGAGACAAAGAGATACTTTGTATTGTACTGTCCTCCTCCACAAGTCAAATTTGCAGCCTGTTCTTCTTCTCACTCATGTTTAATCTTGATGAAAGGAGGACAGGGAATTCGATCGCTTCCAATTTCAGGTTTTCATTAAGATTCTGCCAGATCTAATTCTACAACCGTGTTGTAGAAAGGATAACATAGAGCTGCGGTTTATTACTGTGCTCTTTGTGAATGGGTTTTCTTTGTCTGAGGCTGAGGTTGTCTTGGTTCAGGCAAAAGCCTTTGTCTGAATTATGACACCTCACATTTATTTATGATGACTCCTCCACTACCACTACTGACATTTCTCATTTTTCTTTTTTTTTTAATGGAGATACAGTATGCGTGTTTATCGTCTATACCAGACGTTCTTTTTCTTTAATGCAAAACACATTTATGGGCTAAAGTTATATGGTTCTAGTTGTTAACACTGACTTATAGTTCTCTGTATATGGTGTAAATCAATATGAATAGTCTATTATACCACAGTGCTGTTGAATTCTCGATTCTGATTGGTAGGAAGGTATTGGTTAATTTTCTTGAACAGCGGCTCTGGCAATAGTGCAAATGCAGGATAGAAGAAAGGTTTATACGTGGTTTTCTTTTAATATATCATAATATATCATAATATACACTCACCGACCACTTTATTAGGAACACATGTACACCTGCTCATTCATGCAGTTATCCAATCATGTGGCAGCAGCGCAATACAAAAAATCATGCAGATACAGGTCAAGAGCTTCAGTTAATGTTCACATCAAACATCAGAATGGGGAAAAACTGTGATCCCAGTGACTGTGACCGTGGTATAATTGTTGGTGCCAGGTAAGCTGGTTTGAGTATTTCAGAAACTGAAATTTCACAAACAACAGTCTGTAGCGATTACACGAAATGGTGCAAAAAACAGCCAGTGAGTGGCAGTTGTTGATGACGTTGACGCTGATCCTGTTGATGACCATGCTCAGAGGAGAATGGTCAGACTGTTTTGAGCTGACAAGAAGGCTACGGTAATTCAAATAATCGCTCTTTACAACTGTGGTGAACAGAAAAGCACCTCAGAATGCTCAGAATTCATTGGGACTTGTATTGTGGATGCTCACTTAATTTAAGCCCAACAATAAACAGATTTTTTTAAGTGTTACAACAAAGTAAATCATATAATTGATGCCTTCTGTAAGGAGAATGTTTATTCAACATTTATGTCATTAACAGTCAAAGGTAAAGCTGTTCCTTTAATTATTCCAGGGCGGAGGAATTTTTATTTCTTTTTAAAAGTTGTACTTTTGCCTTATTAACTTTAACAAAGAGAGGGAAAAAAAGATAGGCTGTTTATACCTGCTGCTACATAAGCGATAACAGGAACTAACTTCAGATGTTCACAACATTACAATTTGTTATTCTTTAATAAATATAACATGTAATTATGGGCTTCCCATCACACCACCCTGTTGTTGGTTATTTTTCTATTGTTCCTTACTTAAAACACGCTAAAGCTTTCTAATAATAGAAATGCAGTAAACAGTTTAATCCTCTCTTAGAACTGCTATAACTTCCTTCGGTTATTATTTTTCCAGGCAGCTTTTTAATGTGGTTATAAAACTTTTGTATACATTTCCACTTGGATAAATTTTTACAGAACGTTTTTCGCCATTGCAATGCCGGTGAAATTGAACAGAGCAGCAATCTTAACAGGAAGTCCTATTTCACAGTCTTGATGGCTCAGCCATGGCGATTTCACTGTCTTTCATCTTGTAACAAATAATCCACTGTATCTACAGTAGTCAGAGAGAGAGAGAGAGAGTGAGAGGGGACAAGAGTGTGAGGGATAGAAAGGTAATGCTAACTGCAACACCTCTGTTATGTGTCAGGTAACCTGTTCCATATGGAAGGCGGCCATGGTGAAAAGGACTCGACAGCCTAAAGGCATGTGTTTGGGATTTCTCAGGAAGCATGTAGACAGAATCCATTATTGTTCAACAGACTTCATTTATCATGTCAGGAAATGACCTTATGTAAGGGTCCGGATGTCCAAATGTCTCTGCACATCCAGTCATGGAACACTTTATTCCATGTGAATTTGTTCCGTTTAAAGTTTTCTTAAAAATTCATACGCTCAGGAAATCTCAGTCACTCTCAGTACATCAATTAATCAAAATATGACTGAAGATTGACATATTAGGATTTGAAATGCCATGATTAATAATCATTCATAGATGACGTATAAAGCTTGTATAACATCTGTAAAACTTCCTTCACCAGTGCTCAGTTTTTCACGAAGAGGTCAGCTGGTTTTCTCATCAGCAGACAAGCAGAGAGAACACAAACAAAGAAGATTTCAGCCACCGAACTGAGAGCAGATTTCCCTAGGGAGGGAGACCCTTTATCCAGGATTTCCTCTACGCACAAGATAAATAGAATATACCACAACCCTCTTTCCAGGGCTTTTTCCCCTCTCTCTTCCACCTGAAGAAGAGGATATCACATTTTCCTCTGTGAGACAAATTACTATTTCACTAGATCCTTTCCGGATAAAAGCAACAGGTGCTTACGTGGATGTCTGAAGAAATACCCTAAAAGGTTTCCCATATGCATTATGACTTAAGCTCTAATAGCCACTGCTTATACAGACATGTATAAAAGATTGCATTCACTTAGAACAAAATGAAAAAAGATTAAGATGTTTAATTTAAAGACATGTAGTGTGGTAAGTTTTACTAAACTTCCTTCATTATCACTAGCAACCCTCCCCATTTCTCCAGACTTGGGACTGGCACTGAGAGTACACTACCCTGTGCACCCCACTGGCTGGAGTTGGTGCCCAGCATGGGGCTCAAACCCACACTCCTGAGATCAAGAGGCCCACACGCTACCAACTGAGCTAGCCAGCTGCCTTGCGCATAGCCTGTTCTGTTTTGTCCAAAACATTTTCCATTTTTCACCATGAACTATGGAGAACACAAACTTTCACACTGAACTTTAACAGTGAGTAATATTTATTATAGGGCTACCAGGATTAAATTCATTCTTATTCATTCATTCATCTTCAGTAGCTGGTCAGGATCATGGTGAAGCCATGGCAGAATCTATCCTTGGTACACTGAGCATGAGGTGGGAATACACCCCGGATGGGATCATCATAGGGTATCATTCACACACACACACGTTCACAATTTAGAGGGGCAATTTAGAGTTTCCATTCCAGCTACCAGCATGTTTTTAGGAGGTATGAGGAAACCAGAACCTGGACAAAATCTATACAGACATGAGGCGCCCATGTGGGGAAGTGGTGGCTCAGTGGTTAAGGCTCTGGGTTACTGATCAGAAGGTCGGGGGTTCAAGCCATGCTGACAAGCTGCCACTGTTGGGCCCTTGAGCAAGGCCCTTAACCCTCTCTGCTCCAGGGGTGCTGTATCATGGCTGACCCTGTGCTCTGACCCCAGCTTCCTAACAAGCTGGGATATGCGAAGAAAAGAATTTCACTGTGCTGTAATGTATATGTGGCAAATAATAAAGCCTTCTTCTTCAAATGTGAAATGAAGCTCAGGATCAAACCAGACACCATAAAGAGTGTTTAAATACAAAACTGACTATGTCCATTTCCAGATTATCCTCTCTGCCCCCTTTTTCCAACACATAGCTCTCAACAGTCTATAATTCCCATAAACTTTCCCTCAAATTCCATCATGTGACATGCCATAAAGTCATCTGGACTGTGGAACATCCTGGTCCGTCTTCCTCCATAATCAGTGTCCCTCTATAACTATAGCCTGCTGTCAGGAGCTGTTGGCTTGAGGTAAGTGGAGATGTTAGGGCTCAATGGGGCCACTGTACTCTTATCCAGCAGCATGCACACATGTGGAAATTGAAGCTCCCAGAGGACCGCCGCTCTGCGCTCACTTCCAGACTTCACACCTCACACTCTACAAAGATCTTATCATTGCGTGACTTGGAAAGCCCGTGACACATTATAGAAGGCTTTTAATGACCACAAATGCCCTCCACATCTCTTATGGCATGGGTTTGTGTAAATAGCTAAAGCTATCAAATCACACTGATACAGGCTTTGTGCACTGAATTCATTTTTAAGGATTTTGGAGGGTGGACTTTAGCTAGCTAGCCAGGCAAAACCTGGTTTGACTGCTACTTAATAATTAACGGCTCCTTTGTTTCTTTTTTAGGAATAAAGTTATTAACGCCCACTATCATATTTTCTATTAGGTCATGCTTCCACTCTTTGCACATTTGCATTGTTAAAGTTCACAAATTGAAATTGGCTGTTTGATCAAGGGAAATCTAATACCAGAGTTAGGAACAATTTGTTACTATACCTTTTTTCAGTATCTGTACTTTATGAGTTTATCTTTCACCTAAAACTTTATACTTTTACTCATTTCAAAAGAAATAAAAAAAATCTCTGCTGCCTACTCACTACATTTTCAAACACATCACTTCATTTCTCTATAATCATATATTTATAAAGCAATAAGGCAACTTTAACATCAGACAGCTTCAAGTCTAAACTATACCAAATCTAAACCTTAACACGTAACAGCAAGAATGAGACTGAATAGCTATGACTGTACTCTGTCTGTTGCTATGTACACTTTGTTTTTACCAAGGCAGTTTGTACCGTGTCAGCTAGCTATTAGCATTAGTCAGAGTCATCATGATAACATTTGCTAACATTTGAGAGGAATAAAGCTGTTGTTAGTTAGCCTTGGCTAATGTTTTCATACATTCCTTGGTTGCTTGGTAAAAGAGACACTAATTTACCATCAGTAACTAACAGTGTGTGGTTTGAAGCAGACATCTTTTTTTTCTAGGAATCTTTCTTGTACTTTTACTTTAAGTAAAAGTAAATTAAAGTCCCTCACTAAATTAAGGGAATCTGACAATTAAATAAGGGAATAGTGACAAGCTTTATAAAAAGCCTCCTGTTTAGCTGTGGCTCGCAATATTGAGTAAGAATGAGGAAAATACTCTGTGACTGCTAGCTAACTCACCAAACACGGCATACCATGTCACCTCTTTTTTATGGAACAATTTACAGTCAAATCAGAAAGCATTAGATTCACCTCATTGCCTGTATTCTGCTAGAGCTACTTACTCCATTTTGGATATTCTACGCTGAAATAGGAAGGACTGTGTGTTCAGAGGCCAATATAGCCAAAGCAGTTGACATGTGAATTAGCATGTCAAAGTTCACCAAATTTAGCACATTTGCCTCGCACTTCTGGGTTGGGGGTTTGATTCCTGTCTGCGGAGAGTTTTCATGTTCTCCCCGTGTTTCGGGGATTTACTCTTGGTACTCCGGTTTCCTCCCCCCAGTCCAAAGACATGCGTCGTAGGCTGATTGGCACCTCTAAATTGTCCATAGTGTGCGAGTGTGTGTGAAATTGTGCCCTGTGATGGGTTCGCACCCCATCCAGGGTGTCCCCTGCCTTGTGCCCCCAGTCCCCTGGGATTCCAGAAAATGGATGTACAAAAAATAGAAAATAGGGTACAGAAAATGGATGGATGAATGGATGGAAGTTCACCAAAGTTTATTAGCAATGGAAATCTGTAATACCAAAGTGTTGACTGCAACAAACTCTCCTGAGTAATTTAGCTCTAATTTACCAGACTAAAAGCTAGTGTGCTTACATTTGAATGAAAGCTAATTCCTTCTGTGTACCTTTCATAAATTACCTTTCTTGCCAGCAAAATTTTAATTCAATTAAATTTTATTTAACGCTTTAAATAATACACAGTCACAGAGCAGCTTTACAGAAATCTGGATGTAGATGTAGTTCTCTAATGAGCAAACCAGAGGCAACATTGGCAAGGAAAAACTCTCTGAGATGACATAAAGAAGAAACCTTGAGAGGAAACAGACTCAAAAGGGAACCCATCCTCTTCTGGGTGACACCAGATTATACTGTAAATCAAAACTCTTCTACAGTTGTATATCGTTAAAAGGTGAACAGTACTAAGTGTGTTGAAAAAGATGTTCAGTATGAGCAGATTGTGTATGAATCCTGGGATGAGCAGAGAACAGTGTTTATGATTACAGCAGCCGTTCTTAGGTACAAATCTACAGTATGTATGTGATTATCCACTGAAACAAGGGTGAGCCTGGGACATAAACTGTTTCTGGGAACTGCAAATCATTACGGATCATCAACAGCAGCAGAACATGTGTCAGAAGTACAGGCACACACTCAGCATTCAAGAATTTGAATGCTTCATGCCTAAACTTCTACTCAGTATTTTGTCCTTCATAAACACAGAAATGTTCACTGAGATATATACATGGGATGAAGTCTTACATTTATCAAGCTGTGGTTTCTTATCTGTAATAGCAAAAAAAGTGTTTTGTTGGAAAACATTTTCAATCATTCAGACACATCACATGAAAAAACATCACATTCAGAAGCCTCTCGTGCTACAGGAGGACACTTTGCATTATTGCGTATTAAGATAAGCATCCCCGGAGGCACATGTGCGTCAGATAAACGTTTGTAGCATCTGACATTAGTGATCTTGCCGCATAATTTTAAAAAAAGGCAGCAGAGAGAGTTTTGACTTCACTCAACATGAAGTGTTATGCTGCCATAAAAGCTTTTTTTTTAATAGATAATTGAAGTGGAAGAGGTTTTAAGTACTTAGTAATGCCAGCCTCCAGATTGCAGTAAAGCTCAAAGTACAAAGAAACCCACAAACCAGATGGACCGACATGTCTCACACTTTCCAGGTGGAAAATATTATCAGCAGGTCTGTCCATGTTACACTGCCAAGGACGGGCTGCTGCAAACATGTTCATTCTCACTGACAGAAGAAATTCTGAGGATAATTTTCTAAGAAATATGATGTCAAGTAGGTATATTTAAGCAGTAGATAGCTCAGCAGTTACAAAACGTCTCCTGCCTGCTGCGTGTTAAAGGAAATGGGACTAAATTAGTGATAACTGTGAAACATGATCATGGACAGAACTTTGATCTTCCAGTAGCGTGCTAACATTAATAGTAACAGTAATGAAGTTTATGGCTCCTAATCAGGCAAACATTTAAAATAGAGTTGAAATAACTGAAGCTCCACCTTCTTCCTAGTTAAGTAAGGAATAAAACATGACAGGGGGACTGCTGCAATGGAAAAATAATTAACAACAGGTTACTCAGAAACCAGAAAGTCCTGAAGACTTTCCTGTGGCGGAAATCTGACTGTTACAAAGTGCTGACACTGGAGGCTCCTTCCAAATGATAAATTTACAGAAAGCTTCATCGTATCAATTATTATACACTTTTCTTTGTTAAATAACAGGACATTTTTTTAACCACATTTATTATTAGTCTTGGATTATGTGGAGAGTCTGCCATACATCATAAGTCCCTGTTAATGATTTGTTACTATAGAAACAATAACATGTTAGAAAGAGTGCATTAACATAAACCTGTGATTTGAATTACAGCTGGCACTGTCAGCGTCAGAGCTGCTGCTATAGAAAATTAATCAACACCTTCTGACCAATCAGAATTGAGCATTGAGCAACAGTTCTGTGGTATAACTTCCAATAAATTCTCATCTGTCTCTTTTTCCACTAGTAGTCTTCTCCATACTATTCAACAACTGCTACCCAATAGTCTATCCACGAGTTCCCCAAACTTTTGACAGTTCCACAATCACTCTCCATTTAGTCAAGGGAGTGATCTGAACTCACAAACTAGCCTTTGTGCTAAGTGTCCATTACAGAATGTGCAGTACAGACAGAGAGGACAGTAACCAGACTGAGGCCTTTCTGCATAATTATGTATTGAACAAGCTCCAGGGAACGACCCAGTTTCAGTATGCTTCTCTGGTTCTCTATAAGGCCTTGCGTCTCAGTGCCTGACCTGTTCCCTAATCACCTTCAGC